TCGCTCTCTCTTACTGTCTGCTGTTGTGCGAGCAGTGGCTCTTCCCTCTTTCTTACTGTTGTAATGAGGGTGACAAGTGGTCAGAGAGGGAGGGATGGGGCGTGAAACAGATGGAGGGGGAGGTGGGGGGGTTAGATACAGGAGTTCCTATGTTCTGTAGCCGTAGCCTGGCCGTGTGACTGACAATGAGAGACACATTGTGCTGAGCTAAGGCATGTGCTGGTATGAGAGCAGCTTGTAGAGAAGTTGTTACATACATATACTTTGGCAAGAGGCCTATGTTTTTAGTCCAGCCCCGTAAAAAACAGTTGAGCTGAAATTGAGAGGTCTGCATGACTTTTGTGTGATGGACGAGAACATTTCAGATAACTATGAGCAGCCTAACTTCAGAGACCTGCACAGTAGTCTAATTGAAATGTGAGCTGCATTGGGACACATATTGGTGCAGGTAGAACCAAACCATAAAAGAACGGATTGTTCCACCTAATTCAGACTAGGCTGGGGGATAAAATGTCTCCTCTGAGGCCTATTACTGGCTGGCGTTTGCAGCACTCACTTCTCAAGAGAGAGACAGATTCCCTGAAAGAGCAAAAAGAAAGTAGTCATGCCTGTTTTATTCCCTCCAATACCACTCTGTTCTGCTGCTGTTTCCAGCTGTGACTGAGGTGAAAGCAGGTCAGAGCCTCAGGTGATTGGTGGGTGAAGGACGGGATCAAAAGGGTGGAAAAGTGACCGAAGAGATGCTTTCGTGGTATTGTGACGTCTTCATGCGTTCACATGAAACATGCAACTAAGTCTCTCGAAAACACATACTATGTGCTAATTGATGATGGCAGAAAAAATGGTGTCCAGCATTGTAGTTTACGTTTGTACTATCATAGCTTTTATGTATTCAAGTTTAGTATGTGTGAGTAAGTGCTTGTTCATCATATTTACTAACTGACAGCTGCACATGGCTGATAGAGCGGGCCTACTCCAACACAGCAGCCACACAAGGTCAAACATGTTTATGTTTTCTCTTCCAAATTCATCTGAATTGCTAACAAACCAACCCACAAACGGCAAAATAAAAGAATACCAGCATTAATATTCATTCGAAATTTACCACAGCTGAAGAAAATAAATATCAATCTCTGCGTAATTGGCGAGCATGCTGCAGGATAATTGGCAAAGCCTTTTCGGATGTGAGTCTGTCTGTGAATGAGACACATTGAAATGTTTCAAGCCCTTCACCAACGAGCTGCACATGAGCCTGTGCTTCATGGCTCAACACGGCTGGTGTGATATAACATCTGCAGTGTTATTATTTCAGATGCAAACCGGGGCTTGACCTCGTCCATTATCCGGCACCGTGGCACACACGCTACCTTTCATTCACCAGACTCTTCAACAGTTTTTAATCAACTGTCGAGACTAATGACACCGAACATGAGGTTACAGCTAGTTAGTCTAGTTACAGCTTGCCTGAAATGTATTCGTTTACAACAAGAGAAATAATGAGTCACTTAATAAGATAGACAGAGAACTAATCAGCAACTATTTTTATGATCGGTCAGTAATTTTTCAAGTAATAAATGTCAAACATATTCTGGTCCAGACAGATATTTAAGAATCTGATGTTTTTTAGACCCAAAATCAGATAAAACAAACAATTTGAATTTAGGTGATAAGATTAGTCGATTTATCGATTTGTCAATTATTCAACAACTGTTTTGATAATGGTTTAGATTATTTTTTAAGCTTCTCAAATGTGAGGATTTACCCATTTTCACTAGTTTCTATCTATTTATTAAACAAAATGATTAATCAAGATATTAATCAGCAGATCAATTGCAAATAAATCAATGAATAGCAACTTTAAGTTGTCAAGTGCAGCCCTAAAAATGATCCTGATAATGATTCAGCTGGAAGTCAATAAACAATACTGAATTATTGGCCTGCCCTACACAGTAGTAGCGTTGGATGTTTAATATTATCACTATCATAGCCAATATATCGGTTCATATCAATGATGAGGCAACAAGCAAAAACTAAACTCTACTTATTTAATTCCTGCAATGGCGTGTCATGATTTCAACGACAGTAAAAGACTCATCGCGTCTAGAAAAGCAACTAGAATGAACAAATGTTGCACATTAAATATCACATAACGTAATGAGCTCCTGTAGTGTTCGTACACAGAATCGGAAGAATAAAATGTTATGTGAACCAGGAATGTGTTGGAAGGTAAAGCCACCCAATCATTGACCGGACACTACACTTTCAGATACCCAAGACCTTAGTGTTTGTTGTCATTTTAATTTCACCTTCATCACCTGTCTTCATATTAAAACGTATGGGGTTATATTGAAGGTTGAACGCTCCACTTCTTTTCTCACATCTGCCCATCAGTGGACTTGTCATTATCTCAGCAGAGATCCAATCAGTGAGCATTTTATCGACGGCGGCGATGGGAAACAGTTGTATCTAGTCTGATGGGAAAACACTGTGCAGAGATTCACACAGCACTTCAGAGTGAACATAGGAGTGAGAAGAAGAGATAAGAAAAGAAAAAAACTGGCAAGCTAAATCATTACTGTCTCCATGTCCCATCCCAACTGGACTCTGAACACACACTGCACTGTAAACACAGTCAGGGACACCGAGACGCTGCTTTATCATGGGGACCCACACACAAGCACACAGAAGCACGTATGCAGGTTGCACAGCCGACCCCTGCTGACTCAAAAGGCGAGCAGTCAGAAGACCACTAATAGCAGAAACAGCCCACAACCACTGATCTGCACGTCGACCGCAATGCAGACAGACACGTATAAACACACAAACCAGAAGCAACGAAGCACATAATGACAACACAGGTGCAGTTTTTGGGGGTTCTGTGCGACAACATATGCTGCTGCTTGAGCTTTGATTATTCAGTCAGGTGGACAAAACCGATCGGCCAGCGAGCCCCTCAGTCAAACTGACAGACAGACAGAACCCCAAGGGATCGTGTTGTGCTGGCCTTGTGCTTTCTGCACTGCAATAAAGACCGCCTCCTCACACCTGACAGCACTAAGCACTGCCACGCAGAGAGAACACAACGCATGCAAAGCAAACACAAACTGGATGTAAGAGACAGTCAAGGGAACTCCCTCCCACACCCACACACACACACACACACACATACACCGACAGACAGACAGAAAAGACATCCTGGTAACCATGGAAACCCTCCACCTCCTCACACGGTGACATCACAGGTGTTGCATCACGACCCAAACAAGGAGGCCAAACAATCACCTGAACTGCTGGTTAATGAGCTCGAGGTGAGGAGGCCACAGGTGGACGGGCCCCCGGACGGGCAGATGAAGGGGATGCTGATCGAAGGGGATGAGGAAGAGGGAGTAGGACTAAGAATAGATCCTCCCGCCTCAGAGAGACAGACAGAGAGGAAGAGAGAGGAGCGAGGAGGAGGAGGAGGAGTGAGACTCTTTTTTTTTGTATATCTTTCGCCACCGGAACCATAAGCCATATGTGAACAACCTCACACACACACACACACACACACACACACACACACACACACACACACACACACATATACACACACAATCACACACACAGAGTGAGTGATATGCAAGTGAGGGAGGGTGGGAGAGAGAAGGCAGATGGAGGCAGATAGATGAAGACAGACAGATAAATCACGCAGGGAGAGGGACTTGCAACATCCACTCACAGGATTGCCGGTACTTGATCGTAACCTATATAACCCTGCTGTAAGCTGTTGGTGGCAGGATGCTGTGCTCTGTAACGCTGGCCACACCAACTTACTTTCACACCGGGGCACTGCACAGCCACCAAACCCATGTAATGGTCTGGTGTTGATCACATGAGGGGAAAATCTACAGTAGCTAATGGCCATATGGCACATAAAAATGCAGCAGATAGGGAACTTATCGAGTCCCTTAGTGTCTGAGGAAGAGGGGGGCCGGATACATTTTGAAATAGACTGGGGCTAAGTTTTGGCTAATGAGCTGCAAATGAGTCTGTATATCAAATCTAATTCTGGCTGCAGTGACTTTCCTAATATCATCCAGCAGCTCCTGTCTTCCCTCTGAGGCACTGGAAGTAGCAGTAATGAGCAACAGCCAGCCTTCAGAAAAAAAGAAAGAAAAGCCTAATGGTTATGTGTGGTGGTCAACAGAAGGCAATGGCTTTCTCTTATGATGCTTTAGGAGCTGTGAGGCACAGAGGCTGTACAGCCTGAGCAGCAGCAGCAGCAGCAGCAGCAGCAGTAGTAGTGGTGGTAGTAGTGGTGGTGGTGGTGGTGGTGGTGGTGGTATGGTAGCCCCTGGCCCGGTCACAGAGCTCCGTCCTGGGGCTTGAGCTGCAGCTCGGCTCAACAGCTGTGTCCAGCTGCGCTACCTCAAGGAGACAGTGGGCGCTTTGTTCCCTACAGGGCTATAAGCAGCAGTTGTGGGAGTGCAAAAGGTCTTCGTGTGTGTGTAACATAGTTTCATTTCCACAAAGGTTAACGGCCTTTAGCTAGCCACCCCCCTTCCTCCCACCAACCCCCAGGTCCGAGGGGCTTCTTCCACCGCAAACGGCCTCTAACGTTACAGCAGCGGCGGCGGCGGCAGGCGTAGAGGGAGCAGCGGGACAGGGTGGCACAGCCAACCAGGATGTGTGGAAAAATTTTGAAATGCGCTGAAGCCAAACGCTGTCCAAAAAGCCGAGGCAGCGCGAGACAAACGTACACATCTTTTGTGTGTTTCTAATGGTGAGATAAAGCTGCCTTTTAGCTTTGCAGCGACCACCGACAACAACATCAACAACAACAAAACATCGACAGATGCGAAGCCCAGTGTGGAGGAAGGAAAGCGCCGGGTAATCACGGTCCACTCAGGAAACAACAACAAAAGAGAGAAAGAAACCACAGGCAGGAGCGTGGTTTTCACCGGAGGAATAAATGACACCTCTGGCAGACGATTAAACAAGTAATTCACGCGTGTACTTACTCAGATGAACCGGTTCCGCTCGGTCCACTGGAGGGTAGCCGGTCGGTCTTCCGGGCTGTGTGTCGGGCGGGATCTGCGCTATGGAGACTGGAGAGCTCACAGCCTCGAGGACTGAACGTAAACTGTGGCTTGCGTCATTTCACCAGGATGCCACTATTGCGCGCAGCAATGCAGCCATCTTGCTGAGGAGTGCCCCACCAACTCAGCAATCACTGCTGGAGCCGAGCTGCTGCCTTGTGTTTGTTAGTGTTTACACAGAGAGTGCTATTTATTATTTATCTGAAGGAAACCCAACAACAAAACTATATTTTATTTATTTTATTTTGTTCGATAATAAAAAATATCCCATGTTTGGTGTCACTTTAAGCTAGTACTAGAAATTAACTTAAGTATATTTACTTAAAGATCCCCTCCAGACATGTATTAAGACTGTCCTATAAATAGTCTGCTCTGAACAGTAACGTGTGTCTGATTTGCAAAAAGAAAAAGCATAATTTTTATATTAAAATCCTTTTTTTTTTTTAAAAATCATCTACACCTTCTACCTCATTAAAAAATTCCCAGATCTATGAATATATAAAATTTTGTTCATTTCTAAAGTTTTCCTGCTGGACACAAGATGTCTCCTACTCCTACTAGTCCATTATCAGTATTTGTGCACTGGTGGGTTCAATGTGCTCCATACTGGACCAGGACTGACTTTCAAACTATTTGTAAAGACACAAATCAAGCGCATAGGCCCCGCCCCTTAATGTCTGACTTTCAGTGAGCAGGAACTTTCCACTTTCAGCAGATCAATCTTAAAAACATCCTTCTAGTGTCAAACACCCAACTGTAGGAACAATAAGAAAAACATATTTTTGTGTGTACAGGGACTTTAAGTACAAATTTTAGTTCCTTGTACTTTAAATAATATTCTATACACTACAATTATCTGAGAGATAATATATTTCCTAGTTATTTTGCAGATTAATATATTTTACATATTAAATATATGACCAACTAATTAAAATTATCTCCACCTTGATCAGCTTTGACATTAAACTGCTGCGTACATGTCAGTCTATTAGTAAAAATAATGATGTATAATAATATTCTTTGAAATACATGAATGAATGAATTAATTTTGCTGAACACAGGAATTTACGTGTAGCTGAGTACTGCTATTTTGCTAATAATTCTTCCATCACTGCTTTAAAGTTCGACAGTAATGTATAGTGAATGTAAGATTTTCCAGTCTATGTCATGTTGACTCAACCATCTGTATGTGTGGGTGTCCACCCACTGTTTATAGAGATGTGTCTGTTGGAAAAGATGTGATTTAAATATAAACTCTTCACCTTTCACTCAAATATTCCGCTTTCTTCTAAAAAGAAAATCTTGCTCGGAAAATCCACAGACATGAAATGTGTAAAATATTCTATTAGAGCAGCCTTAACATTACAGAGTGGTTTAAAATCTCAGGTTTTCAGTCAACTAGGTAATTTGGTGTTAGATTCAACCATGTCTACAGCCTAGTGAAGTAAAATCAGCCAAATCTATTAATCTCCTCCCGTATGACATCATTTTCTTATGAACTGCAACATCTAAACCCAACATTCAGTGTTTAAAACTGCATGAACTCAAAGAAACAAGCAAGTGTTCCCAACTTCCCTCGCAATTTTTATTTAATTTCATCATGTTATCTTATTGGCTTATTTCTGCTCCTTCCAATCAGTCAGCAGCTACAGAATGACAGACAGAGCATATAGCGCCCTCCTGTGGCGACTTATGGGTGTGTAATTCATCCCACCGCGCCGCTGAGGGTGTGTCTGCTCAACCTGATGTGGTCCAGAGGTTGTTGTTTGTTGGGGGTGAACCAGAACCTGAGCAAAGCAGCGCTATATTGTTTCAGTCAATATATCTGGACAAATACATATTTACATTGACAGATGACTTCATATATCCTCCAGAGAGGTGTGTGTTTAACATAAAGCCATAAAAATATCCTGCAGCTTATTCAATGTTCACAGATCCCCACGTGAATTAAGTCCTTAACTCACATCAATGTGTACATATGATTAGGCCCAAGACCATGACGACAGTAAAAGCATCATCACAAATAAATCATTACATTTAAATAAAATTAATTGGTCGATGGATTAATTAGTCAGAACGTAGTTGTTGGACCAGCATTCATTTGAGCAAAAGAGGAGTCAGAAATGCATAGAAAGAACAACAAGTGTGAGAAGTAATTTGGAGTGGAAAGTGAGACGCTGTTACACACAGTCTGGTCCATGAAATTCTTTTGTTATAACAGATTAACAGAAACTGTATGAGAATGTGAGGTAAGAACCCTGGTTTCTTATCCATCATCTACCAGGCTAAAAAGGACTCCCTTATGGTCCAGAGATACAGTATGTGGGCTCGCCTTGGCACGTGATACCATCCACACAGAGAGCAAGAGAAGAAACACTTATGAACGACATCTCCCCAGCTTCCTTTGACTTCTTCAGATTGAGGCTGGTGACGTGCAAAGATGCGTTCCCATCCAAGGTTTCTTCCCATAGTGGGATCAAACCACAGTCACAGGACACGACATGCCCGATGACTGTCAGAGCTCGTCCTTCTCCATCTGCTGGAACGCCTCCAAATCTTCCCGCCAATCAGCCAGCAGTTCATCCACTGACTGGCTGCTCGAGTCTGTGTCGCCCTCAGGCTCCTCTCTCTTCTCAGAGTCTCTCTCCTCTTTGGGCTGGGCCGAATCAGCCTCTGCCTCTGTAGGACCAGCTTCCTCTTCCGGTGGTCTAACTTCCTCTGCGGGACTAGTGTCTTCATCTACAGGACTGTCTTCCTCCTGTGCTGGTGTAACCTCCTCGGGGGCCAATTCATCTAGCTCCATCGTGCTTATTTGCGATTGGCCAACAGGTTCAAACGAGGTGGGAGTCGTTGCTTCAGTTAAGCAGTCTTCCTCCGCTTCTTGCACGTCCACACCTGAAAAGAAAGCAGGGGCGTGTGACTGAACAGCTTTATGGAAAAGGATGTGCACGACAAAAAGACAAACACACACACACACACAAACCTCTTTTCCTCCTCCTCAGTTCGTAATCTATACAACATGCCCCCTGGTAGCCATTCTCAGTCAAAAATAGACCAGTTTTCATGGAGAGGCTGTCAAACATAACAGCATGATGCTGATGGTGAGTCATGTTTCCCACAGGATAAAGCCTTTCTCACATAGCTGCACAACCAAACTGAGAGTCAACTGAGAAAAGAAATCTGGCAAAAAGTTATACTGTGAATTCTGCACATATCTGGTTAGAAAGAAGGGTATTTGATCTGTTGCAGTTTCTAAATATGTAGCTGCTTCTTTAACTGCAGATTGTAAATGTGTTAAGGAACAAGTCTGTGCTTTTTATTATACAGTCGAGGGGAATACACCAAGGACTGCTCACAACTACATAGCTTTATAGTTCAAATACAGATAGGCACAGGTTATCTGGTCAGTGTCAGTTTTGGTAAGCATCTCATCTGCTGGGGAGCCCAGTAGTCCTAGATGCGCACATCCTTAACTAGAGTGCTATTATGCAGTTGATCCTGCAACAGTTACTTATAACACTTACTTCACTTATAACTGATAATAAGTCTCTGTTTAGGCTTCTTAGCAGTAGTAAAGAAATCTCTCCATTTTACAGCCTGTTTGACAGCAAACTCAGCTGAATACATACAAGTACATAAGTGGATAAAATCAAGACAAGCTGACCAAATACAAATTGAGTCTAACTTTTTTCCAGAGACCATGTAAACACTGTCACATGGCTTGGGTGGACAAGTTGTGTCATACCCTGCCAAACAGCAGACACACACAAAGAGGACATAAAGAGCTGTCATGTCCAAAGCTCTGATGGGGGAAAACAGCAAATGACAATACTGTGACTGCGCCAATTTCTTCTATCAAACATAAACAAAATCCTGTGGTTTGAGGGCAGAGCGAGAGGAAGGGATAGGGGGAATGAAAGCATGACTGTAAGGAGGGAAAACGGAGATAAAGGCAAGGGAAAGGATGAAAAATGCAGTTAACAGACATAGAAAGAAGGAAAAGAATACTTACTGCCCTCAATCAGACTGCCTGGAAGAGGTTTACCTTTGAATATGGCTGCTGCTCATCCAAAGGGGAGAGGGTTATGAAAATAGAAGAGAAACCAAGAAAGAGAGGAGAGGAAAGGCACTGTTACAGTCCACCACAGGGAATAGAGGGATTTGGCAAATGAGGAAAAAGAGGAAAAAGAATGAGGATGTAATATTGATAAGGGTATAGACCTCCACCATTATAACCACAGCTGGTGGGTGGCTTCTGGATGAGTCACGATCTCTGAGAAATAACGCCTGAATCCCTACACCTCATCTTTATTTTAAGAAGTCGGGCACGTAATGAGGCTCAGTCAGCGGGGAGAGATTAATACACTGATGTGATCAATCTTATCGAGAGACGAGTGGAACAAAGCGAGGAGGCGTATGAGGACATAATGTCACACCTCTGTCTCTGGCTTTGTCGCTCAGGAGCACCTCCACCTCCCTGTACTCCTTCAACGCCTCCAGCAGGATGTTGCCCTCCTTGTGGAAGAGGAAGAGGAGAGGCAAGGTGACGTCATCTGTGTTGCGGCCGTCCCCCGCCATCTGAAACAGGGGAGCCGTGTCGCTGCTGCTGCCCTCGTTGTCATCTGGGAGGAGATGAGAAAGAGTGATACAATTAGTGTGAAGACATCGCCTTAAGCTAACATACTATTTATGTATTGTAAAGGCATTCACAGCTGTTGAGAAATGCCATATTACAGATGCAGATTATTATCATTAAGCTGTAATGTGCAGGACCCTATTTGACTGGCTGTCTTCAAGATAATGCATTTATCTAGTCATTGAGTAATCATCTTCTGTCTTGTGTTGTTAGCTGTTTGCACTCACCGATGACTATGCCTCCAATGGCGCCAGCCTTCTGGACGTGTCTGGCCTTCTCTGCGAACATACACTGTCCCCTCTGAAGCAGAGCGATGTGGCCCTGGACATACTCAGCATTGGTGATCTCAGTGCAGCCACTGTAGGGTTCAGCCACAGTCACAAAGCCACGTACCTGCACACCAGAGGAAAGATTATTATTATCTCTTATTTCAAAGAATGAAGGAACACGTTTTAACACAGTGCTACAGTCTAATCCCACATGTTCTCTTCAGTTTGAATTAGGAAAATATTCTAGGAGAGGAAGCGCTCCTTAAAAAGAGGGAAAGTGAGTGGCTCTCTTAGGAAAAACAAACAG